GGTGGGATCTACCACAAGCATCTGAGTAGCTGCTTTAGGGATATAGCCTGCTTCCCGTATATAAGCAGCAGCTTTGAGAATGGTCTCTAGCTTATGGCACACTTGGACCCTGCATATAGCCATGTCATTGTTCAGCCGTGCCATGCTCTGCCAACCTTGGGACTTTCGATGGACTTGAATTAATGGCCTGCCATGTGGTTTGGTAACATCAGGACTGTGCCATTTTATTTGTCGACCTTGGTCTTGTTAGCCTCAGCAGCTAGTAGCTGTCTGAGTGAAGAGATGCCTCTGGCTTCAGAGGGCTGGGAGCAAGAGGCAGCGCTAAAGCCCAAGGTTGAGGGCCTTTCACCAAGCCCCTAGAGCCTGGCACTTTGAACTCAGACTTCTAGCCTCCCGAACTGTAAAAGAATAAACTGTTTGTTCAAGCCATCCCATTTGTGGTATATTCTTGTCACAGCGGCACTAGGTAACTAGAACAAGCATTATCTATAAACATGAATTCAGGCCCCTTGAGTAGGACTCTAAGAGGCTGCACAGTAGCTGAACATGCCTCCCCAGAGCACCAACCAGGAGTGGAAATGGAACTGCAGTGTCCAGGGGGCTCAGCTGCCCCCATGTCCCACTGCACAAGAGCTTGGGTATGGAGGACCCTTGGCTGGCCAATAAGGATCATTGCCATAGAGGGTGACAGGGCCCCCAGAGTGAGGTGTGGCCACTGCTTGCATGGAAAAGGAGACAGACTAGGATGGGAAGCCATGAAACAATTGTGGGAGGAATCGAGAATGTCTTCACACACCCAGAAGGCCTGGTGGGCAAGAAGCTGAGGAAAATCTGTGAAGAGGCCAACATTCACTAGGGTGGTGCCTCTTCCATCTCTCACCTTCACCACAGAGGGTATCTGGCAACTTTCAACAGCTGCCATTGGTCTCCCTCCCTCTTGATGCCTTTCTTTGCCCCTTAGAGCCCACTCAGATTAATAGCCCCTGAGGGCGGCCAACTGACTGGAGCTGGTGTCAGCTCACTGTCCTCTCAGGTGAGACAATACTGAGGCTCCCAAAACCCCCAGGGGATTGAGCACCACTTGCATCTGACAGTAGCTGACCAAACAACACTCCCTTGATGGGCTTCTTCCCTTCTCTAACTCATTGCTCATTCTTCCCACCCATGTTTCAGCCACCATCCAAATAAGCTGTTGCTGTTGTTGTTGTTCTGTGCTGTTGAGTCGGACCCAACTCATAGCGACCCCTTCTTGGGTTTCCGAGGCAGTATCACTACGGAAGTAGATTGCCCCATCTTCCTTCCGAGGAGTGGCTGGTGGGTTTGAACTGCCAGCCTTCTGGTTAGCAGTCAAGTGCCTTAGGCTCTATGCTATCAGAGCTCCCTCCAAATAAGCTATGGCACTCAAATTCTAGGTTTAGGATCAGCTTTTGGAGTTTATAGAAATTAAAACAGATGCCAGCCAGCTCTGGGGGCGGGTAGAGGGTTGGGAATGGGAATCCTGGAGTTGGCCCCTCCCACCCCAGTTCTGTGCCTGCAAAGGAGAGTGAGGCCTCCAGTACCACACAATGGAGCAGTTTCAAAACCCCAAAAGCTCTACATCATGAAGACCTCACCTCAAAACTACATTTTCTGGTTGCTGGCTATCTTCCCTCTCTTCATCTCAACATTCTGGTTTTGGAGAGAAAAGTAACATCCCAGATTAGTGTCATGGCTGCCTTGAAGTGGACATTGCTGACCATGACCATGGGTGATTCCAACGCTGAAACCAAGCATGAATTCTGGGACACCACCTTCTATGCTTGGGTAGGAAAGAGTCCCTCAGTGGTGCAAATGGTTAAAATGGTTGGCTGCTAACCAAAAGGTTGGAGGTTTGAGTCTACCCAAAGGCACCTGGGAAGAAAGGCCTGGTGATCTGCTTCTGAAAAATCAGCCATTTGAAACCCCTATGGAGCTCATGGTTTCATGAGATATCCCAGTTAACTGGCCTCATACATGTTTTTGTTCTACCTCCTACTTCATTGTGTAGTTCCTAGTATCTTAAAAGCTTGCAAGTGGCCATTCAAGGCACAACAATTGGTCTCTATTAACTTGGAACAATAGAGGAAAAAGGTGAGTTAATTTGAGGAGGAATAGGAGGAGGAAATGGAATTTGTGGCTAATTACTTCCAGGAACAACTGCCTACTTTGCCATGAGACCACAACTGGATGATCTATTATTAAACTATTACTACTATTACTAAACACTTTGCTCAAAGATTCTACAGAAGAATCCTGATCAAAAGGGGGAAAAATATAGAACAGAATTTCAAGTTTTCATGGAATCTAGGCTTTTTAGAGTCATGGAGGCAGGATGAACCCTTGAAACTATTGCCCTGAGATAATCTTTAAACCTTAAGCCAAAAATATCCTTTGAAGTCTTTGTAAAACCAAACAATAGTTTAGCATAACAAGTAAAGAATGTCTATCTTGAGTTTTGTGCTCATTTAAGATCTGTTTATATGAGATCAAATTGACAACAGCAACTCAAAAGATTAGATAGGAATCTTAGGAGGTAATGAGTGTATGTCAACAGGGAAGGAATAACTCCAAAAGGAGGGTCAGAATGGTTGCACAATTGGAAGAATGCAATCAATGTAACTGAAACTTGAATTGGTGTATGTTTTTGCTGTGTACATTCTCAACAACAATAAAATAAAATAAATTCTTTGAAAGAAAATAAAAAGGAAAGAAAACCCTATGCAGCATGGTTCTACTCTGACACACATGAGATCACCATGAGTCAGAATCTGGACTGGATGCTTGGGTAAGAAGCTACTGGAACCTCAACTAAGAACTGGTGATCATCTCAGACTGTTCCTTGCTGTAACTCCCCTTTAGCTTAAAACTGGAAATGCTGGCAGAGGGGAGGCTGGGCAGATACCAGACTTCGTGGTGGATCCCAAAGCCACAGCCCAGCTCCCCTGGATCTGGCTGGAGTATGATCTGTCCCTGCTGGCCCTGCAGTCAGAGTCACACAATAGTAGCAATCATTGTCAATATTGCTCTTTTCTGTTTTCTGAGATTTACCAATTCTAGTTCATTTGGAAACCAAAGCTGTGCTCCTTCATGTAAATCATAATTTCGTTGTCAGTTTGATAACCCAGGTGAGTGGGAAAGACTGGGCTTCCTAATGGAACAAAGAGCACACTACGCCTCCGATTTTAAGACCAACTGCTTGGTTGAGGAGTCCCAATGTGATGCAGATGGTTAATGCACTTTACTGCTAACCAAAAGTTGGAGGTTCAAGTCCACCCAGAGTGCCTCAGAATAAAGCTCTGGCAATCTGCTTCCAAAAAAACCCAGCTATTGAAAGCTCTGTGGAGCACAGTTCTACTCCGACCTACATAGGGTAGCCATGAGTCTGAGTAGACTTGATGGCAATTAGTTTGTTTTTGGTTAATAGCAGTAATTGGAGTCCCCGCATGGTACGAATGGTTAATGTGCTTGGCTGCTAACATAAAGAGTGTGGGTCTAGTCCACCCAGAGGTGCCTCGAAGAAAAGGCCCAGTGATCTACTCCCCAAAAGCATGTTAGTCATTACCAGAAGTTGGAGGGAGGAGTTTTTGCTTAGATAGCACCAAATTTATGTTAATCGTGGTGGAATGATTTGGAAAAGGAATGTGAAAATGGTTGCACAACTTAAGAATGGAATCAATGTCACTGAATTATACACTTTGAAATTGCAGAAATGTCATATGTTTTGTTATGTATATTTTTACAACAATTAAACAAAAACAAGGAACAAGCTGTCTGAGTGTGCCCAGCCAAGTGACCTGGTCTTCCCAGTCTCTGCCCACAGGGATTTGGGGAAGAGAGAGTGACAGCAGCCTCCCGGTAACAGCTGTGCTCACTGTGTACCAGTCTGTACTGAACATCAGGGCAGACAACACAACCACAGAGAGGGGCAGTCCCTTCACCTTCAGCCCATCTCCAACTGAAGACCAGCTACCTGTCCTTTAATGTCTCTTTGCTAACACAAAGCAAAGCAAGGATAGAGAGCAGGTCATCTGGGCCAAGTCTGAGAGATTTTACCATCTGTACCCCTATTAGAAAGAACCCCTGGCTGGCCCTGGCATGGCAGAGCTGAAAAAGGTTGGGTGAAGTAGTCCAATTCATCCAAATTATTCTCTGACTCAATTTGGAATCTAAAAGCAAAAGGCCACTTCTTTGAACATTTCTGTGACAAAAACAAACAAACAAAACCCAGTGCCATCAAGTTGATTCTGACTCATAGCAACCCCCATTGGGCTTCTGAGGCAGTATATCTTTATAGCAGTAGATTGTCCTGTCTTTCTTCTGCGGAGTGGCTGCTGGGTTTGAACCTCCAACTTTCTGGTTATCAGTCAAATGCCTTAGGCACTACACCACCAGAAAGCCCCTCCTAAATCCAGATGTTCCCCAAACTGCCTCTGTTGACAAATTGAATATTGTTTGCTCACTCTTTCCAAGTTGACTTTTTCCATCCTAGGGACATGTGTCCTCCCTTGAGAGAGTGGTGTCCAGTGACCAGAGGCACAGACTCTGAAGCCAGGCTGCTTGGGTTTGGTTCCCAGCTGTACGGCTTTCATACTGTCTGACCACTGGCAAGTGGCTTACCCTCTCTGGGCCTCAAACCCTCCACAGTAAAACAGAGATGATAATAATGAGATTCTGCTTCCCTCGGTTGGTAATAGGGGGAGCATTTAGAGTAGTATCTAAAGTAGACAACTACTGTGCTGTTGCTGGCCGCTGCCGAGTCGACCTATGCACAATGAAATGAAGTGCTGCCCAGTCCTGCACCATCCCCGTGACTGGCTGTCGATGAGACCACTGTGGCCACAGGGGTTTCACTGGCTGATTTGTGGAAGTAGAAAACCAAGCCTTTCTTCTTTCTCTTAGTCTGGAAGCTCCACTGAAACCTGTTCAGTATCATAGCAAAACGAAAGTCTCCAATGGTAGACAGGTGGTAACTGCATATGAAGTGCACCGGCCAGGAATCGAACCTGGGTCTCCCGCACAAAAGGTGACAATTCTATCACTGAACCACCAGTGCCTCCTAAGTAGAGTAGTAAGAGCTACCTAAGGATTAGTTCTGATACTATTATTATTTGGAAATAGCGACCAGGGGTTGTAGGAAAAATTAGGTTCCAAATCCACAATCAAGAACGCAAGTTCTGAAGCATTCAGATTGCCAGAGTTCTACTTAAAGGGCGAGCATGAATGTTTGATGACTGACAATGGGGAGCTATACTTAACTAAGGGGTAGATGAAGTCATGCTTGAGGCTTAAGAATCACGTGTGTGCCACAGACGATTACTCTCCCAGACAAGGGATGCTGAATCCCCATTCTGAGCGCCTCCTCCCTGGCTAGCATCCCTCCATGCCCCCCCTTCCTCATGCCTGCCCTCAGGGTGAGCAGATACTCACGGAGGTGGTGGGAGTATCGGAGATGGAACACATCACAGCCATGCACATGGTGGTAGAGTTTCTTCTCAATCAGGTCCTGTGGCTCGTAGCCCGTCAGCTCAGTCACCCTGGGGGAGGACCGTGACTCGGTGAGGGACCTTGCGCTGCAGATTGCCTTTCATTTAAACTAATACTGGTTTTGCCAACTAATCAAGTGCGAAAAGACTCCGGGAAGGGGGTGGGAAGGAGTGTTGGTTTTGAAAACTGAGAATGATCTTTTTTTACAAGAAGAGAGTCTTTGAACTCTGGTCCAGAGCAGGATGTAGCACTGTTTGTGAGTAGGACAGTCCTGCAGAAACCACTGGATGTAAGAAAGTTGTGAAACAGATTACAATTTTAGTCTCTTTCAAAGTGAAGCTTACCTGAGGATCTGTGAGAGTGAACTTTGACACTGATATTGGGAGAATGCTGTCAAGGTGAGAAAGAACCTGCCCTTTGTGGGGCACTAGGGAGACAATCTTATGTGAACTTTTAAATCACATTGCACATCAGACCCTTCAACTGGCACAGCTGGTTTCAGAACTCTGCTGGATTTGTACTCACAGGAACCATGGCATAATTGGAGATGTTAAAGCCTCATAACAGTGGAGGGTTGTAGTACAATCCCCAGAAAGCAGTACATGTTATGGCTGAATTGTGTTCCTATAATATATGTATTGAATTCCTGGCTCTTATATCTGTAGATGTCATCCTGTTTGGAAATGGAATTTTCTTCATTATGTTAATTGGACCAGCCTCATGTAGGGTGTATTCTAAATCTAATCACTTCTGAGTTATGAAAACAGCAAATGAGACACAGTGAAATGCACACACGGAAGGAAGACAGATACCAATGTGAGGACTGTCTACAAGATGGGGAACCAAGGAATGCCTGGGGCTACCAACAAGGAAGAAATCAACATGGAAGAGACCCTGATTTGGACTATTAGCCTCCAGAACTATGAGAAAATAAATCTTTATTCTGTAAAGTCCCCCACTTGTGTTATTTCAGTTACAACAGTGCTAGGAAACCTGACAGATGATAACAACTGAAAACACTGACTAGAAGGTCAAATGTAAGCTCTCTTTAGAAATGGGAGCACTTTTCCAATGCTTCTATGCCATTACTCCTCTTTATTCTCATCATCCACAAGCATATTAATTTCTCACTTCGGCTCTTTGAAGACAAGCGGCTCTCAACATCCAAGACCGCATCATCATTAGCATTTGGGGCACTCCATCTCTAGGTGAAAACTGCATGTGGTAATGGTATCATTTCCCAGGCCTTGGGTAACTGGTCTGGGAAGCATGCCTTTGGAGAAGGTGGTCCAAACATCTTGGTGACAGATATTTAAGCACAGATGAAAGCGGTGGACGAGGAGGGATCCCAAAGCAGCTGAGGCTACGGTGAGAAGTCAGTGCTGGGGGCTGGGGGGCTGAGGAAGGCTGGGATCAGGGGCCCTGCCTGCCAGGATATGAAACGTTAGCTGTAAATTAAACTGAGAAACTTGACCTCACTTTCATTCTTTAACCCGCTTCCCTTTTGGTTAAGTTCTGCTCAGGCTTTAGGTCATAAATCTCCAAGAGCCTCATATTTCCCTGGAATGGTGCACTAGTTGGTGGACACATTTCCATGGTGTTTCTCTAGTGTAGGAAGGAGACAGGTCTCCCAGTGGATGGACTTTGCTGAATCCAGAGCCCAGTCAGAGATTTATGTAAGGGTCACCTAGAAGTTTAGGCACCATTGGAGCCTAACTCTGTGTGGCAGGAAAATTGAGACCCATGCCTGGCTTCCCAACAGAAAACCAGGCATCTCCAGGGTCCAGGGATGAAAGAGGCTTCCCAGATCCTGTGGACATAAAGTTACAGAGCAACAGCCCCAAATGTGTAAATGAATCAGAAACACATGTATTAAGTTTCTCATCAAAGTACACACTGGCTTTAAAAATTAAAGGGAGAGGGAAAGGTTTGGCAGGATGCCTTCCTGGTTTTTTCCAAACTTCCAATGTCTGAAGACTTGTCAGAGGGATTTGCCAAACCCCAAACATAGTTGGGTTCACCCATCCTTAGCAAAAGCACCAGCTACAGTTTCAAAGTGAAATACCACAAAACCCCGGTGAACCAAATTTCAGGTTACACCGAGTTCAGTTGTGTCTGGGATTGTGCTGGTTGGGAAGTCAGCTGGGCCTTCCCCTACCCCTCCCAGGCTCACCACCCTAGCCCCTGTGACTTGAGGCCTGCTGGGCTTCAGGCCAATCTCTCACAGTGGCACTGGGGCTCGGACAGAGAGCTGCCATCACCAGCCCCGCCTGGTTGCTCTGCTCTGCCCCCACCAGCCCACCCCTCTGCTCCCCTGGCCCAGCAGTCTTTCAAAGACCATTTGAGCTGCAAGAGACTATAGTGACTGACGGTAAAGAATTCTCCAGAACACTTGTGGCCCCTTTAATCACCTCCTGTAAGTGACTGTAGTTCACAAAAAGCCTCACAAGGCTTTGCTGAAAGCCTTCTGACATTTAGAAGGGGCTCTGGATCTTTTGGTGGGGACAGGAAGATGTGTTCAAGATCATTCCTTTCTTTTGCACTCTACTTCTAAAACTTTGGCATGAATCCATTGGGGAACTCATCAGCTGGACCCTCATACTCTGCCTCACACCCTGGAGTAGAAGAGCCTGCTTGGTGCTCAAGACCAGCCCAAGCCTGAGGCGCCTCCTCAGGCAGCGACCTGGCTTCACAACTAACCTCCTATCCATTTGCCCCTTCAACACTGTGTTTATAGAAAAACTCATAAGGACCTAAAATCTCTCCTCTGTAGAGATTCTCTTCTTGCTTCTCCTAGAAAATTCACCTCTCCTAGAGAATTCCAGAGAGTTCATCAGAGGTTTCCTTAGAACAGTCAAAGAAAAATAGGAGACCAAACAAAGGAGAGACCAGTATTATCTTCCCAGATTTCTTAAATAATGAACTTGAACAGCCAGCTTTTCTTTCAGTCTACTTTTAGAAGTGGCTCCCGAATCAAGAAAGAACGCCTGCATCACCACGTACCAATATCTCTATCTCACACCCAGCCTCTGAGTTGCTTACTGTAAGCTCTTTTCCCTTCCTGTGCAGACCTTCCATTGTTACTTGCCAAAAAACAGCATTTGTTGGTATTTGGCCATTCCAAAAAGGGCTGACATCTCTCCCCAAAAGACTCATACTTCTGGGAGAATAATAGTGACTCTGTAATGTCACTTCTTTTCATTTTTCTATCTTTGAGTGATTCTGAGGTAAATTAACAATGAAACAAGCTAGTTTGTATCTTCATTTCCCACCCCTAATCAGGTAGAATTTTTGTTTATTTGTTTCCTTGATAAAGAATCAACAAATCCTGGCTTCAGGACAAGCAGAAAATAGAATTTACATATCCTTTCTTCTGAAGCTCAACCATACACACCAGAAGTCAGGAGTAAGGTCTCTGAACTCTGTATACCCAGGGAATTTGAGGAGCCAGGAATCTAAGGGACTCATATTGCAGGGACACCAGGCTTTTTACCTTTTCAAATCTATTCTCAGATTTCATCTTTCTGATAGTCCCCTATGTGGAGGAGTGGGCAGGGTAAGCCTATTATTTGACAGAAAAGATGCCTGACCAGCTTGGGGCTTTCAGACTCTCTACCCTAGGAGAGGAAGCTGGAATCCAAGCCTCTAATTGCCTGAGAGGCTGAGGCTGCTGAAACACAGGACTCCCAAGCAGGCCTACCCTGAGGTCAAGTGCAACTATGTAATCTGTGCTTCTGCCAATTCAATTCTCCTCTGAGTGAGGAGAGATTTTCAAATTGGAGGGCATTCCCAGGTAGGAGAGATAAGGAAAGATGGGAGCAGTAGTTCTGAGGACTCCTCAGCCTCATCCTTACAGTCATCTGGGGATGGCCTCCTGGCCTGAACACAGACATGACACCTGCTGAGTTTGTGGACAGGGCTATCTACCAGGGAAGGTGCCTTCTCTGCACACAACCTGCACAATAATAATGTCTGTCACAGTTTCCATGGCTTCACACCGACCTGAGGTGGAAGCCCCACCCCTACACTGCCCTACCCCTACACTGCTCAGTGTGGAAACATTATCTTCATTAAGTCCAAACAACTTAATGGAAATGCGTGCTCTGTTAGTGTGGCAGAATCCTAATGTCATGGAACAAAAATGTTAACTTGTGCCTGCAACACATATTTTCGTTTAAAACTCATGTAATGATTCCAAGAAAAAGTACCTATAAGCTGGTTAAAGGAGTCCCTGGGTGGTATAAATGGTTAAGCGCTCAATTTTTAGCCAAAAAGTTGGTGGTTC